TATCTAGAGGCGCGTGGACAATGTTGTTGAACCAATGAAAGCGTTGTTTATGTCGCGTGGACCCCATCCCTCAGTATAAATATGTCTGTAACTCTGAATAAAGAAGGAAGCATTCACCATACTCCTATGGAGACTGTGTCTGTATTCTGGGCTCCCCTAAGCAACATTTAAGCAACAACTACCCTCTGGACACGACCATCCAGCCAGTTTCTTATCCACTGAACAGTCCACCCATCAAATCCATAGCTCTCCAATTTAGAGAGAAGGATGTTGTGGGGGACAAAGATGCTACAGATGGGGACATTAGTGAGTTCTTCTCTCTCCATCTTCACTTCCCCTTTTAACATGGGTTAAGCTGCCACAGTTAACTTACAGAGGTACTGCTGCTAAACCTGCTCATATAGGTGTGTCCTATATGAACATGTGAATGGACAGAACACAGACCAGTGTAACCAAGAGCAGGAAAACATAAAAGCAAAACTTACATAAAAACAGGCTGCAGCAGGTGAAACAATTTCTTGTGAGTGCTGTGGACAAAAATTTTCCATAGTTACAAAACTGAAGGCCAAATGCTGCTATTTGTGTAATAAATATGAAGAAAAAATACGTATCGCACCCTATGGAGGCCCCCTGTCTACATGGAGGTGGGGTGTGCTACACCTAGCAGAATTTTAAGCTGGGCTGGCTGAGTATTTACTCTACAAACATTTCCACCACTCTGCAGTAATGATAAAACACTCCATATATGATACACCGACTTCTTCAGAGATGATCACTGCTCGCTACTACAAGGGAGAGCAAAAGGCTGCGCTATATGGCTGTAATGAACGTGATGGAGGATTTGAGGTTTAGGTTCACTAGCTCAATGTAGGTCATGTTAGTAAGCCCGCAGCCTTCTCACACTATTACATTCTATTTAGGGATCCCAGACCGACTCTTTTGGAAGCTGTGAGGAAAACATTCACGGCAAAGGGGCACTGATGATGGCCCTCTTAGAAAGTCCGTAATCCTCTGAAATGGTCTTGTTCTATTTTAAGGAACTCAGAGGTTACTTACAGAAATTTAAATCTTAGAGGTTTTGTGCATCAGTTTCAGTAAAAAAATATATTGGCTATACACGTCTTCACTGCAGATTGAACCCTGTCAGATAGCACACTTCTCCTTCTATTTTTTTCTGTGTTTTCCTATGGATTACTAGGCTGCATAGTACATGCAACAAAAGTTCAGTCTGAGACTATATCCAGCAATTTAGTGTGAAGAAGGAAGGGTAAAAGAGAAGGCACATCTTGAGTATGATTGGCATTTTTTATTTTGTGACAGCATTGTTACCTTCAAAGCTGATACACATTAAAAAGCTCTTCTTGTTCCAAAGTATAAAGCCCTACTTTGTCACTATTTGTGCCTTCTCTTCATTGTGAACTGGTCTCTTTTCTCATGACCAGAAGAGAAGAGATCGGAAAAACTGCAAAGAGATTCCGACAAGTAATGCGTGCAGGAAGGGTGAGCCAAGATTGTTTTGTTACATGTTGTTCCCTTTAGGGGTAGTGATAATCACTTCAGATATATCACAATAGCTAGCTAGCTACACCGGGTAGGTATTTTGACAAGAATGTGATTTTACTTGGAATTTGAATGACCAAGTATTTGGATGAGAATGATACTTTATTGCGTATAAAATACAGGAAGAATGAAAACTAATGAAAATGTCAGAGCACCAAGGACAAAAACCCTATTGTTAAAAAATAAAAAAATGAAAAAAAAAAAATCTTGCTCTTGTAGGAGTTTTTAAATCCCTATAGTAATAGCTGCTACTCATGTCCTGACATAAAACAGAATGATATGGAAACTGATGCCAACTTCAGCTCTTTCTTGTATTAAAATTCAGTCTAAACAATTGCCTCAGCCTTATTCTAACAGTCTCTCTGCTGGGAGTCAGAAGCCCTTGGCGCAGAGTGCCTCAAAAACATCAAGAGGGAGGGGAGGGGAGCTGGGCAGCAGGCAACTTCTTAACTGAGGAAACTCAAAGTAGGGAAGCTGGAGGATGGTGGACATATTGGAGAGCTTGTAGAAGACCAATTGCAGAGCAGGGACAAAGCAGACAAGCTCTGAGAGATGCACTATTGGAGTCCCTTAAGGAGCTGGTATGAGCTTGCCCTGACTGAGGAGGAGACGAGAGTGAAGGATCTGAGCACCAGGAAAACCTTCACTGAGAAGTGAGAAGCTTGTTTTAAAACCCTGTATCCCATCTAGGATGAAAAATCCAGGACTTCCCTGAGTGATATTTGTCTCTGTAATGTCCACGTTGAAACAGACCATTCCACTGAGTCAAAGAAATATCATGAAATCATTCAGGAGTGAAGGCTGCTGTACCCACCTCTTCTGACAGCTTATGCTGTGGGATAGAAATGGGGGCTGCTATGGGGGGAAACAAGGAAAGTCCAGAGATAACTGATATACCTCCTTCTGGAGTGAAGGACATGGTTTTGGGGAGTCTGAGGCTCAGGAGCAGCAAGGGGGGCCTCCATGGGGGGAGGTCACTCATGCCCCAGGATGAGCCGGCAGTTCTTGCAGGAATACCCAAAGAAAGAAAATTCAAAGCAAACTCTGATATAAACCTTCAGAGACTCAACAGCAGCTGAGCACATGTGCATTTAAACTTCTTAGAAAATGGCAATTTTTGCCAAATACGAAACACTGTCTCTATGTCCCTAAGGCATATTAGTCACCTATAGGGACTGCCTCTCCCTCTGGTTTATATAGTATCTCATGCTTTCCGCTCAGGCAGTAGACATGTACTTAGAAAAGGATTTCAGTACACTGCAATACAGCTCCCATCCTACTGTCCTGGTCTTGGCTGGGCTAGAGTTAATTTTCTCTCTTGTAGCTGGCATAATGCTGCGGTTTGGATTTAGTATGAGAAGAATGTTGATAACACCCTGATGTTTTAGTTGTTGCTGAGTAGTGCTTACACCAGTCAAGGACTTTCCAGCTTCCCCTGCTCTGCACAAGAAGCTGGGAGGGGTCACAGCCAGGACAGCTGACCCCAACTGGCCAAAGGGCGATTCCAGACCATAGGACATCATGCTCAGCATATAAACCGGGGGAAAGCTGGCTGGGGGGCTGCAGCTCGAGGACTGGCTGGGCATCAGTTGGCAGGTGGTAAGCAACTGCATCGTGCATTACTTGCTTTGTATATTCTTTTATCATTACTATTATTATTATTATTATTATTACTATTTATATAATTTTATTTCAATTATTAAACTGTTCTTCTCTCAACCCACAAGGGGTTTTTTCACTTTTACCCTTCTGATTCTCTGGTGGGATGGGGGAGTGAGCAAGCGGCTGTGTGGTGCTCAGTTGCCGGCTGGGATTAAACCACAACATCTAAGAAAAGAGATATTTTACCATAAGTGGATATACAATTGAGAGAGATTTTCTATTATGTTTTGTTGCTGCTGGGAAGGATGGGAAATGTGGGAGTAATTTCCAGCTATTATACCAGTCATTTCAAGAACAAAAACACATATGGAAAAATGTCATATATTTAACTGTAGTTGTCTTACTGTTAAAAATCATACCATTCAGTTATCTGATTTATTAAAAAGACTACTGGAATAATCCCTTGTAATCCACTCATATCTTATATTTCTCACAGTTCAAATTAAAAATTAAATCACTTAAAACTTAAATAGCAATTTCATAAGTAAAAAGCAGGGGCAATCTTTAGGGCATATAACAATATCTCTGTTTGCCTTGCTGAATATTTATGTCGTCAACACAGTGGATACCCGCATATACCCCCACAACCAGAACACTATAAAACAAGCAACTTGCCCTGAGGGGTTTTCCTTTGCAATCAGATATTACTTGTTTTAGAATAATCACTTTACAGCTTCTACTTAATAAAAAGAATGATAACTAAATTGGAACTCCATTTCCAGGGAAATTCACAAGAACCAGTGTCCCATTATACTAGCATCAGCTTTCAAATCCCTCAAGGAACTTTGGCTTGCAATGCCAGTTACTCAGCACCGGTTTTCCTTCTAAGGCAGACCTTCTCCTTACTGACTGCTTGCCCACACACCTCTGGATTTGCTGCATTGCCTGCACTGCTCATGGTATTGGCTGAAAGAAAACCAAAATATAATCTAAAAAATGGTGCCACAAAAATCAAATACCCTGATCTGTAGCTGCTTTATTTCAATAGAGAGGCATAAAACAGGTAAGTGAGGCTTATTTTTTTGCTTGAAATATGGAAACTGTCCGATGGCTTTAATAAAAGTATTTGATTAAAAGACATCTCTACTGCTAACCTGCCTTTTTATTACCTTTTTTTCAGGTTAGTAATTTGGCACCTCTGCTGGAAGGTAAATCCTTTTCCAGGCTTGTGGCAGAGCCAGGCAGGCAGCAGGACCTGGGCAGGCTGGGCATGAGACCAGCCCAGGGCCCCTGTGCTGAGGAGGGGATGCTCGTCACCTTGTGCTACCAGCTGAATGGCGCCTGCTACAGGACCTTACATGCCTTTGGGGTCCATTTATCTGGCCTGTGCCTTGGGCACGCTGATCACGGTGCTGGAGAACCTGCTCGTCATTGTTGTTGTTTCCCATTTTAAAGCCCTGCACACCCCCACCAACTTCCTGCTCCTCTCCCTCGCCCTTGCTGACCTCCCCCTGGGGCTGACTGTGCTGCCCTTCAGCACCATCCAGTCCGTAGACAGTTGCTGGTATTTTGGAGATGACTTCTGTAGGCTGCACACCTTTCTGGACATGCTCTTTTGCTTGACCTCCATATTTCACCTGTGTTTCATTTCTATTGATCGGCGCTGTGCCATCTGCGACCCTTTGCTCTACCCCACCAAGTTCACCGTAAGAGTGGCTTGCATTTACATTGGGGTAGGGTGGGCAGTGCCTATGGCTTATACCTCTCTCTTCCTCTACACTGAAGTGACTGAAGAAGGACTGGGCCATTTCTTGCGAGCAGTGCCCTGTGTTGGTACCTGTCAGCTGCTGTTCAACAAGCTCTGGGGGTGGTTGAACTTCCCAGTATTTTTGTTCCCTTGCGTCGTAATGATAGTTTTGTATGTGAAAATATTTACTGTGGCTAGCAAGCAAGCCAGGCTGATAAACAACGTGAGTGGGAGTATCGGGTCTCAGCTACACATAGGAGCATCCAAGAGTGAAAGGAAAGCAGCAAAGACTCTTGGGGTAGCTGTAGGAGTCTACCTCCTGTGCTGGTTGCCCTTTACTATTGGCACCATGGTAGACAGTCTTCTGGATTTCATTACCCCCCGTTTCTGTTTGACATCCTAATTTGGTTTTCTTACTTCAATTCTGCCAGCAATCCCTTGATCTATGTATTTTCCTACCATTGGTTCCGGAAAGCTGTGAAACTAGTCTTAACTCGTGGGTTCTTTTGTTCCAGGACATCTACAGTGGATTTGCACCAAGAATGACTAGAGCCTTCATGTGCAATGTAGAAAATATTGTAGGCTATATCATAGCATTTCTTATTATTATTCCTCAATGTCCACCTAGCTAGTATTTCTCTTCTTATTTTCTTTTTTTTTTTTAAAATGGATGACTTGGGTAGATCCCCAGTTTAAATAGACATGCCATTCTGTGACTCCACTGTGAACGTCCACAACATTTGTCCCAGCACATGCACCTTACTAAAGTCTTGCATTTGTTATGTGATGCCAACAAGCATTTGAAAATTGGCCCTAATTAGCTCCAAAGAGGCCCCTGTCCATGCTATTCCTCGGGTATAGTTGCTGCCTGTTTCTGAAGAAACTTTCTTCACAGGCAATTGTCTAATTTTTACACAAAGCGGGTGGTGATGATATACAAAGTTACATAGGATGTATGTTAGTTTTTAAATACAAAAAATCATAAGGATGCAACTACAGGTGAGATCACCTGCCTAAGCTGGTGGCCAACAGCAGATGGGAGAGCAAGGTTATACTAATATATTTTACATTATTTTTCTAGCCCACAGGGACAAGTCCCTGAGCCAAAGGGGAAGATACAATCCTGACTTTCTCAGTAGTGTTCACTGAAACTCCTGGAATCTTTGCCTGTTTGATTCATGCATGCAAGGTGGCTGCTCCATACCTCTGAACACCCTTTCTGCCTTGCTCCATACCTTTTCTACTGCTGCTGCATAAAGGGACTTAGAAGAAGGGGGAAGAGGGACGACAGGAACTGCACTGGGTGCTCCAACTCCAGGTGTCAATAGGTATTATGATGTTTTATGCTTTGTTCTTTTAATTTCTTTTCCCTGACAATCCTAAGATTCCACATGCTCTTTTGTTTGCCTGTTTCCAAAGAAATTAGTAGGCCTGCTTACAGATTCAACATATGCTTACACCCTTGGGCTGGGAAAAAAATGTCAGCGTAGGTTCTCAGTATTCTTCAGCTATGTTTGTGTGCTTACACGAGGCCAATTTTAATTGAGATCTCTATTTACTCTGCATAGTAAAATTTTGTACTATTCATAGGGAAGTTATTTTCTACCTCACTGTTATGAACATTTTATCAGAAAAAAAAAAAAAATTGTAGTAAGCAGTAGTAACTCTTCTACAAAAAATTAACAAGCAGCTAAATAACAACTCTAATAATTTTGGGTTTTTTTTTCTGTTAATGGTATGTAAAACTATTATTAGGTTCAAAGATTGTTTAAATTTTTAGTGCCTTCTAAAAATGTCATTCCATCCTATAGTCAGCTGCATATTTTCTGAGTGACAAACACTAAAAGAACAAACAGCTACAGAAAGCATGTAACAAATAGTAAGAAACCAGCAGATGCCCCATAGCCTACTGAAAAGTGGTCAGTCTTTCACTAAATGCAGTAGGCAAATGAATCAGGCCCTACATGTGTAAGAACAGAAGAGAAGAATTGCACAACAGATATTCTGTAGGAAAACAGTGCAATACAGTGATTGTTGTAGCAGATGCATATTTTAATGTATGCAATAAACTAAATGGTAAAACTCTTTTCCCTCTTTTTTAATCTTATTATTACATTTTTTGCATGGCAAGAACAGTTTTCTGCTAGTACAAATGAGCTACAGCTTTGGGACGCTGTGATCTGTTCTGACATCTGTTTCTCTCAAACTCTTTTTGGTTTTGTCCATAATCTTAAGACTCCAGTCAGAAAAAATATCAGTAGTCAAAGTATTTTTAAAGCTAAAGCATATGTATGGAGGAAGGAGAAGAGAAAGAGGGCTTACGTGTTATTTTCAGGGATGTCCTGAATAGAGAGTGACCTTAAAATGTTGGTGTTTTTAAAACGAGACATTATGCCTGTAGCTGGAGTGTCATTCAACCTCACTTCATTCTCCCAGTGTCTGATACACCCCCCAGTTTGCTATGCTAATCTTCATTGTTTCTTGGGACAGAAGCCAAGGCTGCTTCCTCTGCTTGCTCATGCTGTAGCGGAAGGTAGAAACCCTACTGCATACAGCTGGAGACTTTCTGTAATAAGGGTACCAAACCCAGGGACCAGGCTAAAGACTGAAAGGTAGAATCGGATTCTTAGAAAAATTCAGGTGCCAAGTTACCATAGAAATATATAGGGAAGCTGTGGTACATCTTGAAAGACCTAAACTGTGGGATGAGTTTCAAGATGAAGACTCTTACATTTAATGTGTATGGGTAGGTGTTTATAATTATGGTAAATATCTACGCACTGACTATAGCTACAGCCAGAACAGCTGTTTAAACTCAGGCTGTAGTCAGTGTATATTTAGGATATGAATCATTTGCCCGGTGCCACCTAAGGTGCTTTAGGGAACCTGAGACGTCTAGTCGGGGCTAGCGCCCAGCACCAATGAAGCAGCAGCTGAGAACCAGGTAGGACACGTCCAGGCATCTAAAATGGCACTAGATACCCATCTGCGGGGCACCAAGCTTAAGCAAGGCATTTAATAGAAGTCTAGACGTTTAGCTGTGTAGAAATCTGCAAGTCTCAAACCACGTCGTGTCCTAGGGGCACCTTAACAACATCTCTCATTGACACCTTTTGCTCTGAACTCACTGTGGCCGAAGCAGTAGAGAAAGGAAATTTCCACTGAGTTTCTAGCTGGTTTTTGGGATACTTTCTACCATTCCTCAACAAATTACAGAGGGTATATGCCATGAACATATTCGATTGGCCACTTCTTTTTTGAGTCCCATTGCATAACCTGTCTTCATAGTTTTCTTTTCTTCTGTGGAAGCGGATGTGCCTTTCTCCCTCAATGGGTTACCACTGTCTATGCCGAGGTGTAAGAACTCTGCCATAACATCGGGTGATGGTTCTAGATTTCCTTTTTGGTTAAATAGCAGCCTGGAATGATGAAGAGAGGGAAAAGCAGAACCCAGACTACCAGTACGTAAGGTAACAGTGGCAGAGAAAACAAGTAGAGAAGGAAAAGCTGCTAAAACTCTGGAAGTAGCCACGATCGCTTCTCCGATTTTCTGACACTGCATTTTGCAACAATCCTTGAGTGATGTTTTCCTCATCTTTGTAACTCCCCCTCTGTCCCCTTGCCTTTCACGTCTCTCTGGTTTACCTAGCCAAATTCAGTTAGGATCCCTTTGTGTGCGGGATGTTTTTTTTTCTCCATGGCTTCAAAAAGCAATGATGGTAATTATGAATTTTAAAATTATTATGATGACGAAGAGGAAGAGCTGTAAAATGATGAAGATTGATTGCTCAACAATGGCCTCATTTTCAAAATGACAGTCTACTGGATTCTATCAGAGCTAGCTGCTGACCTCAAAGTACAGAAATTTTAGTCTTTTTAATATATTTCCTTCTGTAGATTTGTATTTCTTTATCTGAACAAAAGATTGTCATTTAATCTTATGCCCCTTATAACTCTTCATCATTTTAAAATGGTCTGGCTGGAGTTAGAAAGGTTATGTATTTGCAGGCACTTCTTAATTAAAGATGGCTTTGAAATAAATGTCAGCTCATTTCACCAGTGCAGATGAAATTATACTATGGTCTTTGAAAATTAAACAGAAAGGCAAAGATTTGAAACTAAGTTCCTAGCAAACTTCATTTTGTTTCTTTTTTTTTTTTTTAGGAAACATTATCAACATTGGGAACAGAATTTGTCTCTGTTTATTTAAAATGTATGTTATTGCTTTAATTACTGCTGCTGGAGAGCAAGTACCAGCCTAAATAACACGCAAATGGTCAATACAGGTTTTTCTAAACACATAGATTTTACAGGCCATTCTGCAATATAATTAACCCAAAAGCTTGTTCAGGCTGGAAACCATCATCCGTCCTAATTTTGTACAGCATCGGGTGTAATAGGAACGTAATCTAATTTCAGGTTCTGGAGCAGCTATTTTAATTAAATTAGCAAATGGAGATGACGACAACAATAACAGGAATTCTTCCAGCTGGTGGAATGCATCAGTCACAACCACCTGGGAAGCTCTGCCAGGCGTTTTTGCCATCGGCACCAAATAAGGGCAGCGTTGCTCTTCCTATCCAAAGTTAGAGGCATGCAAGCGAAATGCGAGAGAATGAAATTTGCCCGTAAGGTAAATGATGCACCACTTAGGCACGGCTCACGCCTCAGAAAGAGGGCACTTATCAGGAATACGAGGTCGGGGTTGGGCTGCTTCCCCCTCGTTTCACCATGCGTCGTGCAGGCACGGGGATCTGCACGGGAATGAGTGCCTCATGCCTAGGCCACAGGCGGCCCCATCGCTCGTGCCACCCACCCTGCTGAGCCCGCGTGCCTGCCGGCTCAGTGCCAGGACGGGAGCAGGAGGTGGGAGGCAGAAACAGAGAGCCAGGAAGGTGGGGCAGATTCGGATACTGCTCGGAGGAAGGCGTGCCCTTCCAAAATCACACTATGCTGGTTTTGGTTTAACTTCCAATTCTTTCAAACATCAGACACCATACTGAGTACAGATCCTCAAACAGCTATATTTGAAGTGACACCCCTTTTAGCTCAGTTTTACACACATCAACAGGAATATAAATGGTGTATACTCTGATCTTCAGATATCCAGAGCATCCTCCATGGTACGCTGCACCTATGAATAGCAGGGTCTCAACACTTTCCCCTTTCTTTCCCCAGAGCTTTCCCCATTTCATTTAATCAGCTGAGATCTGAACATGCTCCAAAAGCAACAGGAAAGGTCAACAAGTAGGGTAACATATGATTCCGAACTCAAACCCCGGGTAAAACTGGTGTGGGAGCTCTAGAAATAAGCCAATTAAATGAGCTTAGTGACAGAATTGTCTAGCAGCACTCCTCTTCAGCATCCCTGATGATAACACTTAGAGACGGCTGCTTTACAACTCCTGTCCATGGCTTATGCACCACTGAAAACATTCTTATTTGCTAGCAAAAGAAAGCATGCAGAAACCAAAGAAAACCCCTGTTTTATCTGAAAGGGTGAAACGGAGCACCTTCTCCCAGCCAACAGCCTTTCTACAGGAGTT